ATCGTCTTGCCAGCGGGGGAGAACCTGCTGCGGTGGATGCTGTGCAAGTTTGTCGCACTATAAAATAATTCAAAACAAAAGACACCAATGCTGCACCCATTCCATGAAGCACGCAACGGAAGTCATCGCATGCGACGATTGAAGTACAAACATCATTGTCATCAGTATTACCTACACCACAATCATTATCATCATGTGATGAGGCTTTTTTATCAGTAATGAGGCCGACTGCGCCGAAATATGACGCCTTACAAGACTCCCTTCACCTAGGATCGGCCACGGTAAATAAAGCTCAAGGAGGTACTATTCGTTAACTTATGAAAATGGTATAGCCTAGCCCATTTAGACGAATATTTTGATTTATCATATGCACGAAAGTCAACTGGGAAAGACAGCCTCAACCCAATCGAAAGAGATTAAATTGACAGTACAAACATTTTGCGCAGCCTAAATCAAAACCGTGAATCCCTAAGCCGAGAAGTCTGTCTGGAGATGCGATTCCAGACATACAACGCACGTGTTCAATGAATACTGTTTAAGACATCAAAAAATCGGGCCCATATGTTAGATATATAGTTTTTTTTTACCAATAATAACTGCTACTGTTTAGGCCATGTTTAAGAAATCTGGCGCGAAAAAAAACGGCCATATGCACTCTTCAAACGCCTTACAACTTACAAATTAATCAGCTAGTTCACAGGGGCTGCGGTATTACAAACAGGGCTACTGATGCCTAAGGGTCAGCTACTAGGATATCTTGTATTATCGATTCCAGAATGACAAGAAATCGAAAAGGTGGATTTAGCAGTTGGACTGGCAGCTAGCAGTTATAGTTGTAGCAATACCAAATATTTAGCGACTGTGATTATTTAAACGTTCCGATAGTAAGAACGTAGTGGAATTTGTAGGCATGAGCCTAGAAATAACTTAGTATGAACTTTTCGATGAAAAAAATATGAAAATGGTGACGATTCCACCATTCTTTGTACTAAACGCGTTTTCAAGCGGCTATACAGAGGCAGAGTCGGGCTTGGTGGCCAATTAACAGCATTTCTCGAGAAATATACTTGGATTGGGAATAATCCGTTTACTTAGATTTGTATTAACAGTGTCAAAAAATAAATATAAATGTCAAGTGTGGCAGACCTTGGCAACGAGGATAATGAGGCCGTTTACAAGTAATTCGCATGGATTAATGGTCTGTGACTGGAGACAGTGGACCCAGAGAACATTTGTCAGCAATTAGCAATATAAGGAAATGTCGTCTTCAGAACAGAGGATCACGTTCTCTGTGGTGCAAGCTAAAGTTGCGGTAAATATGCAGTCTTAGCATGTACACAAAAGTTTAATATAAATCAAAAGTTAGTCGAAAGATACTTGTCTGGCAGTTACACTAATAGAAAAAAATACGTAGTTTACCAGCAATTACTGTCGAGCCACACAGTGTGCAGTGATTTTCATATGGACTCTGAATAATCACTGGTGATATCAGGGTAAAAATTGTGTAAAGGTTCATGAATGTCCAACAACTTTCGGTATGACACAGAGTCAAGAAATTTCAGTTAAATTTGCTTAATTCTAGTTTAACATGTTAGCCAATTAAGGGCAGACGTAATATGTGTTTCACCATATGTTTTGAGAGAAGAGGGAAATTTAACATAATACGAAAAGCCACTCACCCGAAGACTCCAAAACTGAACTCCGAAAACAGAAGACAGAAGAAATGCTAAAATTGCACCGAGCTGTGCTTCAGTGACGTCAATTCTATAAGATAGGAACAAAATAAGGAGAGAGAAAACTATGCTCACCTTCCAAACTCAAGGGTGCCCGTAATATAACACTGCCAATGTGCAATGTAAAACAGT